TTTTTTTTTTTTTTTTTTTTTTTTTTTTGGGCCGCTTCGCTGCAGTGCAAGAAGAAGGCCACGCTGGAAGGTTCGAGTAGGCAAGCCTACCCCTATGACCCCTCCGTAGCCCTGAAAAATGAATTTAATATCATGTGGCCCGATGGACCAAGGATGAAATATTAAACTGATCAGAACAGATACTACACTTGATCTATAAAAAAAAAACAAAAAAAAAAAACACTTGATCTATTTTTAGCCAAAAGGCCGAGAAAGGTATTGCGTCAGTGTTTTAGCCAAAAGGCCAAGTACTGGTGGTTTAAGTTTTTTTGATTTTTTTCCCTTTTTTTTTTTTAAATAATAAGTTTTTGGATCTCTCAACCGATGTCTTGCCCACAGTTTCAGTCTTTCACAGTAATTGATGGCTTCTTTTTTTGTTTTGGGCTTCAAGAAAAGGTTAAACAACACAAAGGGGCCCCGTGCGCGGCACTGCGCGCCCATCTGACGCTGTGCTTTTTTTTTTTCCTGTGTGTACCTGTGTGTGTTTACTTTTTCGTCACTTTCTGTTTTTTCCGCCTCCTTAAAACTGGGTCCTTGCAGCGTCACCTGGACCTCGCCAAGGGAGCTTTCCCGGTGATTGCCAATCCGGGGGCTGGGCACGTTCCTATCCAATTCCGCACTGTGCCTTGCGCACCATACAAGGTCCTGACGCTGAATCTGAGAGGCCACCAGTGGTGGCTGGAGGTCACAGCGGTGGGGATTCCTGGGAGTGGAAGGATTTTGAGGGTGGAGGTTGCTGGAAACGGCAGCCCTTGGAGGGTCATGAAGCGCGCATATGGAGCTGCTTGGGCCACTGCAGGCTCTACTCTGCGATCACCTATATCGGTCCGTATTTCCATATTTGGAAACCTCTGTAAGCTGACTGCCAGGGACTGCATCAAGGGACCCATCTACAATGGAAGAAAGGTTACGTGCGGATACTCCGTCGGGTACTGAGGGCCCAACACCCCCCGCTTTCCCCTCCCCCCCCACTGACAACAGCACCACAGCTTGCTTTTCCTTCTTGCTGGTGGTTGCTGCTTCTTCTTTATTTCTTTTAGCTTTTTGTGTGCACTTGTGAATGCCACACATCCTAGCCCTGCCGAAGTGTGTCGCTTCCGCATATTGAGGAATGGGATAAGCTGGTGCTGCGATGGAATGCTCAGATGGGCAGACCAGTCTTCACTCCCAAGCGCGTATCGTCACAGGTGCAGGGACAGGGGCAGGGATTTATGCTCCGTTCGGGCCGGGACTAATTGCGTTCTTTGCGACAAGGTTTTACACATGTAGCAATCCGAGAAAGAAGCCATCTTTGGGACCTCAGCTGTAGCCAATCTGAGAAAGCAGCCATCTTTCGGGCCTCAGTTGTCCCCAATCCAAGAAAGCAGCCATCTTTGGGACCTCAGTTGTCTCCAATCCGAGAAAGCAGCCATCTTTGGGACCTCAGTTGTCTCCAATCCGAGAAAGCAGCC